GAGGAGACGAGTGGTGGCGGCCTACAGACAGCAGGCCGACGGGAGGATGCAGCAGCGGCGGGGGCGAAGCTGAGCATGTGGGGGGCGCAGGCTCATCAAGGGCAAGTAAAGCCAAGGAAAAACGCGGAACACACAATCACGGTTCGCGTAGCCGGCTCGAAGGAAACACCACGCGAGCGGCATAGATGCACCCCGGACAATTCAATGCAGCTGGCGGCGGTTACATCACTGAGACTTGGGGAACGCACACGGTCGACAAGGACCAGGAAAGAGCCAGGTCCAGCGTATAGTCGGAGGTTCCAAGCACGGGAAGGAACGTGCGGGTCGAATCGCAGCACCTGGGCAACGATGCCGCTGGCGAGCGAGAGGTCGAAACCAGAGCGTGGGAAGGTGGAAACGCCGAAGAAACAGGAAGAACTGGGGGGGGACAGCGGGTTACAGATCGACCAGTGCCCGGCGTTGCTGGGGAGGGCGGGGCCGAGCGCCTGGATCAAGAACTACTCCTTTTCGTCGCAGCCCAGCAGCGATCCGCTCGCGCGCTCCAATAGCCAGGGACGGGCGCGTACTAATTAGCTGGCAGCAGGAGGGGGGAGAAGAGCCTCCGCCCATGGGCCGTCGGGCCACCGCACCTGCCCTGAGATCCTGGCGTCGCCATCTGTTCGAGCCGGGCGTGCTTTCGCCTTTGCTTTCGGGCCCCAGGGCCCTCACAGATCGGGCCGGCTCGGAAAATGATGCAGGAAGATGGGGTCCAGGGCTCCGGGCGTGTTTTTTTCTGTTTTCGAGATGATGGTGCAGGTTTTCGGCACGTCGGATCTCAGGGCGGGGGGCGGACAGCTCAAACGGCGCTGCCGCCGCCCAGGGCGCGCACTCGGACTCGCCGCCTGCGGAGCGCGCCGCGCCGCGCTGCCTCGCCGATTCCCCCCCCCCCCCTGGGCGCGCGCCAGGGCGGGAGGAGGAGGGGGGGAGGACGCTGGCTGCTGACGCTGGGCCGTGCTCTCCGGTTCCTGGGCGGCCCTCTGGGCCCCTCGAGGCCAAGAAGCCCCGGGTGCACGCGGCAAAGGGGCGGGAGGAGGGAGGAGGGAGGAGAAGGGGAGGAGGAGGAGGAGGAGGAGGAGGAGGAGGAGGAGGAGGAGGAGGAGGAGGAGGAGGAGGAGGAGGAGGAGGAGGATAGAGAACTGGACGACGACAGAAACACAACAGCAAAACGCTCACCCTGGGCACTGCGAGGCCGCGTGGGGCAGGCAGCCAGGCGCGGCCGTCGAGCGAGCGCCTACTGGCCGCCTCCGCAGCGCCGAAGGAGCTGCGCAGAAGGCATCTGCGTGCCAGGGCCATCCTGGCCCTGACATGGTGCATACGCCCTCCTGGCCGAGGCCAGGAGGGTCTGTACACCATCCTAGGGCTAGGGCCCAGGATGGCCCTGGCCTGGCACGGTGGTGGTGGTGTACAGACGCCTTCGTCGGAGGAGTCACAGGTCAGGCACAGGCGGGGCGCGCTGTCGCGACCTGCGAACGCACTTCTCACGGCTGCGCTCGGGCAGAGGCCTGGCTCTCTCCCGGGGGCACGGGCCAGGGTGAGCGAGCGGGAAAAAAGGTCGAGCGAAGACCCTGCAAAAGCCCTGCCAGGCGCAGCGCGCACACACGTTTGCCGTCGGCTGCGAGGCGAGGGCCATCCGCACCAGCGCGTGGGACGACTCGGGGCAACCGATCGGCAAACTGTCCGGCGCGCAAGAGGAAAAGGCTAAGGCGAGGGCGGCCGCACGCGAAACACACACACACAGTTTTATTCTGTCGCCGGCGAGGCGGGACAATCCGCTCCAGCGTGGCAGCGACGCAGGGGCACTACACAGCGACTTGGCCGGCATGCAGGAGGAGGTGACAGGGCACACACACGCACACACACGCACACACGCTTGGCATGAAGGAGACGGGCTCCCGAGGGAAACGTGCCCTGGGCCCCTGAGCTGTCCCCCGGGGACCGACTTGTCGCCCCGAGCCGGTTCCTGACAGCCCTCGGGACCCGCGGAGGGCCCCGGGGAGGCCAAAAGGCGGCGAGAGAAATTTGGGGACCCACAGGCGACGCACCCCTGCAGGGCAGGCTTCTGCAACGCTGGGGGTGGATCCGACACATGTCTGCAGCCAAGTGAACCCCAGAGGGGGTGTCCGATACAGTAGGGGTTCGACCACTGGAAACCTTTCACAAGAAACCCAACTCTGAGACCCCAGGGCGTCCATTGAATTTTGGATCGGGAGCGTCACGCTTTCCATAGCAAAACCATCAAAACGCAAGAAACCCAGGGCACCCTGGAGGCAAGCGGGGTGCGGGTCGTTTTTTTGTTCTCCCCGTTTTCCACTTTTGGGGTTGCGACCAACAACAACGGAAACAAAACAGTAGCCCAAAACGAATTGAAAACGTCGCGCTCGAGCTAAACACGAGAAGAAAACGGAGTGCCAACACGGAGGGCGAAATTGCCCAAACGTGACCAGCGTTTGTGGGGGATCTGAAAACGCATTGAAACCGTAACAAAAACAAATAAAACATGGCGCGGCAAAGCGCACCCTGGTTCCAGGTCTGAAAACGGAAAAGAAACTGTCATTGAAAACAAATAAAAAACGAAACTCAAAACTAACAGAAAACGGTGGCCCACATCTGCAAAACGGAAAGAAAACGACAACGAAAACGGAAAGAACACGTCGATAAAAAAAAAGTAAACATAACCAACAAAAAACGCCCCCAGCGTTTTTAAGAGCATCTGAGGACCCGCAGAGGTAGGGTTGGCAATCGCCGCGCGGAGCGCGCCAGTGGCGGGGCCGGAGGCGCCGCCAGGGGCGTCCAGCGCAGACCCCAGAATACCCGCGCGGAGCTCCGAAAGTTTATGCTTGCAGTCGGACTTGATTGGACAGGACACGCGAGATGACACAAGACCCCTCCGAGGGCCGCACTGCCATAGGAATGCAGGATCTATGGGTCGCACGGAAGGAAGGACGCAAGGGTACCATTGGTTTGGCAGAGTCGACCTACTCATCAGGCCCGACTGTATGCAGTGTTCTCTTGTTCGAACTTTTGGCGGCGAGCGAGGGGGGAAGTGACAAGGAGAAGGCCTTCTCCGAAGGCTCGGAAGTCCCACGCCCATCTGAACAGTTTTCCAAGCCTCCCCCTCAGTCGCAACAAAAACTCTCAGAAGGCGCGAGGGCTTGTGAGAAGGCCCGCCGACTTCTGAGAGGGCGTTCTCCTTTTAACGTCCTCCCCTCGCTCGCCGCCGAGACTGGGTCACAGATCTGAGCCTCGAGCCAAACGCGGGCAGCCCCCCGCCGCCAGCGTTTTACTACGCTGGGCAAGCTGAAGCATCATGACTAGAGCGTTCGAATGGTGCAACAACACAAAACCAACCCGGCCAATGATGGACAAATTCAGGCGAACTTCACGCCACGACTGTAAACATATATATCTATACATAGTTAACTATCTACATACATGTACCTCTATATACATATACGGACACCCTCCGACGAGTTTTGCGTGTACCTCCAGGGAGGGTGTCGGTCTACAAATGCGCTGGCTGGCTCTCAGTGGTGACCTGCGCGTCGCCACCCTCCCACGAGGCTCAGGCATAAGCCAGAGGAGAGTGTCTGTGTGCAGTAGTTGCTACTGTTTGTGGCGGCCGTTCGGCGGCAGGCCAGTGCCGTCAGGGAGGGCCCAGCGTGGGCGCAGAGTCACGGTGCCTCCTCCGCCAGCGGCGGCACACGCCCCCCTCCACGCGGAGCGCGCCCGAGGCGCCGGGGAGGGCGCCCGTCGCCGGGGCGCCATCGGCCGATGCCGCAGACGCCCGAGGCCTGCGGTCGGGGGCTCTCGGGCAGCGTGCCGCGGCGGCGGCCCCGGCGACACGCTGCAGTCAACCCACAAAGGAAGGATGCGAAGCCATGGGAAGCCAGGGCCTTGGGAAGCCATGTCGACGTCTTTCGAACGGGGCTGGCCTGCGAACGTTGCCAGGGATGGGCCGAAAGGGAAGGATGCGAGCGCGGGTAGCCTTGGACAGTCGCTCAACCTTCCTATGCGGGTTGACTGTATGTCCTGTGAGCGGATAGAGAGTCGCTCCGCTCCTCGGGGCGGGATGCTCGGCAAGGCTCGGGACGTCGAAGGCATGAGGCTGGGAAATGGATAGCGTGTCGCGCCGAAGCACGGTGGGCCAGAATCGGCGGGGGGGAGCGGCACGCCTACCAAGAGTTCCCGACAGTAAGAGCTCATGTATGCGTGGTCTCCTGGCCTCCGACGGAGGGAGGAAGGCCAGGGCAACCAAGTTCTTTGTCGGCGCAGCTCTTGGGAGAAGAGGGAGCCAAGTCAAGCTGAGGGGGCACACGTATCGGCCAGCACTCAAAGCCCGCTCGCGATACCACCAAAAGCGTGCCACAGAACTGAGGACAACAAGATGTCCAAACCCCTTTGGTTGGGAAAAGAAATCGTGTCCCCCCGCCAGGAACTCTCGCACCAGGCGCCAGGTACCCTCGCCTAACCTCTGCCTCCTCCGCCTCCACTTCCCCATCCAGCCACTCGCTGCGACGACACCAGCCCACCTCGAGTTCAGGCTCCCTCAAGCCTATAGATAGTCAGACCATCGATCGAGAATGTCTCCCCTGGAGTAGGCACCCCCGCCTGTGGCGGCGTCCTTAAGCCCTCTTCCCGCTTCATCCTCCTTCTCCTCCTCCTCCTCATCCTCCTCCTTCTTCTCCTCTTCCTGCTCATCCACCTTGACCCTCGAGGCTCGAGATGTTATGACGCTGTGACTCTTTGGGGGCCTCCCGAGGCCCTCAGAAGCCCCCAATGGACCGCTGGAGACCTCCGAAGGGTCGCCTCCATCCCTTCGCCCTCCTCATCCTAGTCATGCTGCTCCTCTTCTCCCCCGCTTCGTGGCGCGATGCCCGCCGCCTTCACCCACGCTGCTGTATACTGCCGGCGACGGGATTCTCGCTGCACGTTTCAGGAAGGGAAGCGGAGGCGAGCGTGTCCCGTACGGCGTCGTCAGGACGACGTGGCCGAACTGGCGGGAGGGCAGCAGGTCGCTCGCAATCTGCTCGATGCCCCCGAGGGCGACGTCGAAGCGCGGGGAGATGACACCGCACTTGTTGACGGCCGGAGGGAGTGCAGAACCTCCTCATCCTCATCCTCATCCTCATCCTCATCCTCATCCTCAGTCGGTCATATCTCAGTATTGCTTCCCTACTCCTTCCTTCCCCCTCCTCCTCCTCCTCCTCCTCCTCCTCCTCCTCCTCCTCCTCCTCCTCCTCCTCCTCATCCTCATCCTCCTCATCCTCCTCCTCATCCTCATCCTCATCCTCCTCCTCCTCATCCTCCTCCTCACAGACATCCGACGTCGTGATTTTTGTTCACAGAGTGGCTGCGCAGAGATCCGGACCCATTCACGAAGAACGGCGTTTCATCCTGCGTGGTGCCTTGACGGTCCTGGAGCACAGTGAGGGGCCCCACAAGGCCGAAAACTGGAACCAACATTAGAGTCGCGTTTTGTGTACGACGCGAGGATGTCGGGGCTCCTCCTCATCATCTTCCTTCTCTTTCTCCTGCTCCTCTTCCTTCTCCTCCTCCTCCTCCTCCCTCGCTCCCTCGCTCCCTCCTCTTCATCCTCTTCCCCTTCCTCCCTCTCTCCTCCTCCTCCTGCTTCTCCTCCTCCTCCTCCTCCTCCTCCTCCTCCTCCTCCTCCTCCTCATCTCCATCCTCATCCTCATCCTCATCCTCCCTCCTCTTGCCCTGCGTCTCCCTCCAAAATGCGCCCGATCAGGTCTACCACGACCTTGCCGGCGCGGTGGTCGTCGATGATCTCCAGGTCGCCTGCAGCAGGGGGGGCGCGGCACAGAACATAAGACAGGGCCAGTGAGAAACCGAGTAGGGGATCGACAACAGAGAAGACTTACTCCGAAATCGACGTTCCGCCGGATCTGCGACCAATGCGTAGAACGTGCCGTAGATCTACGGAGGGCTCGATTTGCGCACATCCGACGGAAAGTCTACTTTGAGGCAGGTCGGTTGTGTAAGCTTACTCGAAAAAGGGGCAGGAGGGCGCGCGCTTGGAATAATGTTAAGTCGGGCCTGTCCCTCTACAGGGGGAATATCTTAACATAGTAAAAAATAGTCTGGGGACCATGTCTTGAATATGTTTTGACAATTTTGGAGTATTTTTGAAATATGTTTTACTTTTCGTCCAAAATCCCCCTGTAGGGGGACAGGCCCGACCTGAGAATAACGCTTTCTTGCAAGTTCGAGGGGACCTTGCCTGCCCCATCGCGCGGCTCGCTGCGTCGAGACCGCATCGAATCCGCGAGTCCACGTCGACTCCGCGTCGACTCTGTTTCGAACACCCCCCGGACGGAAGTTGGAATACCCCATGGACTTAAGGATTTTTGTTGGGGGGTCGTGGGACACAAAAAATACACGAGATTCGCGCTCTGGAGGCAAGAACCAATCGGAAAGTACGCGATGTTCGCGTGCCCGAGGCCATAAACCCATGCAAAGTATACCATATTTGCGTCCCCGGGGCCAGAATCCATTGTAAATAACGACATATTTGCGCCCCCGTGGGCCCTGGAAGCGACATGGCCGTTGTTTTACCAGTTCCGTTTTACCATTTCCGTTTTGCTGTTTTTTGCCCGTTCCGTAGCAATTTGGTTGCTGTTTCCATCGCCGTCTTTTTGTCCGTATCCGGCTCCAGCTCCACTCCTGGAGCTGTTTTTGTTGCCGTTTCCAGTCGCCCTTTCTTGCTACAGTTTCCATGTTGAAAAGACCATGCTCGAAGGCGATAGACAAACGGCCCTGCCTTTGCGGGGCCTGCGAATCCCTCGGACGCACGTCGGACACCGGGAACGAATCGACGCTTCCAGGATAGACGAGGTCCCCAGACGTTGCAACGTAAGTGCTGCCGAGGGAACAAGGTGCCCCTTCGCAAGGAGGAGGAGGAAGAGGAGGAGGAGGACGAGGAGGAAGGTCGGGGGATCGTGCTTGCACTGCGGGTTTCTTGCTTGATCCTCCGAGTGTGTGGCTGGCGGTTCTGGGGCGTCACCCTTGATGTGATAATGATGATGATTTTCCTCGACGTTAGGACCAACATCTGATATAAAGATATGGCGTACAATGAAACCAGACTTCAAAGATCCGTCGCAGAGAGCCAAATGTCTCGCGTTGCCCCGCGTGGGCCGTGCTGCCAGGGTGCTGCGCAGAGGGGCCTCCTGCGCAGCGCATGCCGAGCAACGTGCAGGTGCTAGCTGAAAAGGTGTTCGGCCGCTTCGTCTTCGGCGATTGTATCGAACTCAGGTAGGGCCTCCACCTCGAATAGCTCCTGTGATGGCACGGCAGGGGGGTGGGGTGGAGGCACGACGGAGGAGGGAGGGTACATGACCGTGACCGTGCCGCTGCTGGCAGGGAGGTCTTCGCCTCGAACAAAAATGACACGGCGCTGAGTCGCCTCCTCTCCGCTGATGCCTGCATCGTGCCATGCAGGCTCATTATGGCAAAAAGTTGGGCTCACTGCTCGAGGGTCTCCAGCCAGTGGCCGACCTCTTCCTCGAGCCAGCCCGCTGGGGCCACGCCTCTGCGGTGGACCGCTTGGCCCTCGGCCTCGAGGGCGCGGCTGATCAAGACTCGGCCCTCCCACATGGGCGCGCCGATCACCAGCTTCGTCTTGGTGTCGTCGTAGCACTTCTCCAGGCGCACGAAGGAGATGACGTCGAGGAGATCCTCCTTGCTGATCTCGGCCTCCGCCTCGATGTCCTCGGGCTCCGCTCGGAGCAGGTAGTTGCGAATGGCCCCCTTCATGGATCCGCCCGCGTCGCACTTGCGCGATCCTTCCAAGGCCGCGAGCGCGAGGGACGGGGCTGGAGATCCTATCTCCTGCAGGCGTTTCTTGTCCTCTGGGGTGCCGCTCTTCCTGAGGGAGTCCAAGGTGTGCTTGTAGCCCTCGAGCTCCTGCGTGATGGCTATGATCACTGGATGCTCGTTGCTCATCGTGTAGGTGTCCGTGTTGATGCTGCTGTTCAGCCTAGTCTTGTGCGTCGTCTGGAGCAGCAGCTTCAGGGTCGACCGAAGCACGTCCAGCAAGTTCTTGTCCTTGCTGCTCCAGGCCTTGGGGTTGTGAGTGCCGCGGCGCCCGCGGCGTCCTCCACGGCGGGCTGGGCGTCGGCTGGGCTGGTCGGTCTTCATGTCCTTTTCGCCGTTGTCTCCCTCGTCCACCTCGATGGGCGCGGCTGCTGGCGCGGCTGCTCGCCCTTCCTCGGCCGGTGTTCGTGGTGATCGAGATCGCCTCTGCGGCGGCGGCGGCGGGAGTGGCGGGCGCGCAGCCTTTGTCGCCTTCTGACCTGCCGCGGCGCTGGAGGCGGTGCCAGAGCCCGTCGAGCCCTGGGAGGAGCCCAGCGGGAGTCGCCACGACGCTCTCTGCTTGGGCGCCATCCCCTGGTCCAGGAGGTAGCACAGGAAGAGTAGGCGCAGAGGAAACAATAGCCACCCGAGGTGTCCCTTGAGGTGTTGCATGTACTTCTGCTGCTGAACGCTGTGCTGCCCGTAGTCGTCGAAGTGGTCGGTGTCTCGCTCTGCTGCGAAGGTCGCTGCCCACGATGTGTTCCACCGACTGACGAATGGCAGCGCGTGCAGCAGGGGTGTCCTCGACGGCAGGCGAGGAGCGGCAGCTGGATGGCGCGGGGCGCGGCGGGTGAGCACTCGGAGTGGCCGGGCGCGTGGTAAGCCTTCTGACGACAGGCTTGAGCATGGATCCCGATGGCGACGGTGGAACAAGTCCTAGGACGTGAACTCTGAGTTTTTGCTGATCATGATATTCACGTTGGCATGCGTGGTCCAAAGCGTAGTCCCGTAAAGAACATGTAGTACATGTGGCTGGGACCCAGGGATACACATCATGCGTAAGTTCTGGAATGCATCTACCTGCTTGCCATGCTTGTCGTAAATGTCTAACTGCGTGATCTTGATTTGGGAATGTAGTTTGGCACACAATACACTTGTTGTCGATGTGTAGCGTAGTCAATACCGCTGGCATACCGTGTCCTAGGCTCTTAGATTTGGTTTGATGTGCGGCGAGCTGTTTGAGCGACCCGAACCGTTTCTGGCACGACTCGATGTTGCACACGAAGGGGCGGTTCGTCTCGTCATCGGTGTCCGTCTCGTCGAATGCTGACGCCGAGGGGAGAGAGGAGGTGATCACGCTGGCCTCGGGGGGAGCCCACTGAGTCGTCCAATAGGAAGCCCTGAGAGCCCGAACGTCGCAGCTAGTTTTTTACAACTCGAGGTTGCCACGCTTCCTGAAAGCTCTCACCGATCGTGTGAGACGATAGGCACAGCAAGTCGTCCGCGAGCTGTGTGGCCCACGGGTGCACGTTCGGGTCTGCGGCGATCTCACCCTGCGAATTGAGGGTGCCAGCGCTGACGGGACGGTTGCTTATGGCCGCCTGCTGCTCGAACTTGCATCTTCCAAAAAAAGAGGCGAGAAAGTGGCCATGATGAGCGTGCGATCGGATGATGCTCTGCCACCAACTGAGCCTGCGCACGAGTAGTTCGATGGCAGTCGGTGCAACTTGCCATTCAAGAAAACTTGGCGGGTGGACAGGGGTCGATGATTGTTGTACTTATCCTCCTTATGTGCCGCTCCTCTCATCATTGATCGTAGTTTACGGGCCAGCGTACTGTCGAGTCTGTGGAGCTCTCTGGGGGGCAGCACCTAGCGTTCGAGGCCCGACCAAACCCCCCCAGCGACATTGGACACGAACGCGAGCCGTTTAGCCTTCCAAGGCCCCCCAGAAAACCAGTAGTCGCCCAGGCGGCACCACCCAGTCTTTCCTGATTGTATGCGGGCCTCGACTTCACGACGATTATGGTTATTGACATGTACATATCCTCCGAAATTAATCAAGTCCTGGACAGCGTTCCCAGAAATGTTCCGTTCGGCCTCCTTCGTAGCCCCATGGGTGCCCAGTGAAACCAGGGTGTCTTGCTTACTGATGTTCTGTGCGTAGCCGCCAGCCTCGAGGGCCTGGGAGAGCGTGTCGTTGTCGATCTTATCAATCTGCGGCGACTAGAGGGACGTGCCATCTGGCACCAAGAGGATCTTGACTAGATCGTCAATGAAAGCTCCAAGATGCGCGTCGTGCTCTTCTCCAGTGAAAGGACAATGTACCTGAAACGGGTTTCCCTGGACCTGGGCCATCTCCTGGGACCACTGCATAACTAATGGATAAAATGGCCCCATGAAAAGTTCAGGCTGGGTTGAGTCGCCCATCCTCCCTCCTGCCCCTGGTCGAAGAGCTATACTGGCATCAGACGCCTGCAGAAATACGACAGCCTCATGTCGATGCTGCTCAAGGAGGGGATGAACATGCTCGTCTTCGCATCGAAGTGCGTGGGCTGCAACCAGTCGCTCGTGGGGGCATGTCGCGAATGCGTTCCGCATGCCGCACGACTTACAAAGAAAAGACAGTCTGGCTGATCTCATCTTCCATGTAAAAAGCTTAGCAATAAGCATGAGCGACTCGCGGCGGCGGGGATGAATGCCTCCGTAAGCCCACGGCGGTGGGTCGAATTGGATTCCATACTGAATGAGTCCTATCCGAAGATACAATCGCCAAAAATGGTCGAAACAGCGAAGCAAACGCACACTTGCAGAAATATCCTGAATCACGTTGCCAGTGGGGCTGTTCCCTTTTCTGCCGATGGCGACCGCCTGGCGAGTGAAGGCCTGGGCGGACAGAGGTCCACATCGATGGACGTGGGCGAGTAGTGTGACGAAGGTCTGGATGATGGTGGAGCTGACGCCGTGATCGATCACGGGCTTCCGTCGACTGGGTTGGTAGACTCGCTCGGCGAGCGGGTCCGCGCATTGATAGTCTGCAGTGTCATGTCCCATCCCTGCCCGTTGAGCACCAGGGCGCGTCAAATACTGCGGGGCGAGGAGCATGATGGTGAGTTCGATGGGCCGCCCAAGGTGGATTATAGCGCCTCCGTTTCTCCCTCCACAGTCGTTTCTGCAGATGGTCGAGCTCCTCTGCTGCTGTCTCGATGTCATGGAGCTCAGGGGCGCCGATGCGCCCCCCCACTGGTTGAATGTCATTTGATTGGGCCAGTAGTCGTGGAATAGATGTCGGATCGTCGATAGACATACTGACGTAGGCAGGCGTGGCAGAAAGTCCCCCTTGAACGGCTGGTTGAGTAAGGGCGTCTGTGTATTCGGCTGCAGTGGGGCGCGTGGATGGCAGTGCAAGGTATGATCGTCGTCGTGGCCCCGTCCGTCGCCCCGCTCGGGTGCACGTGAGATGCGCGACCCGGGAGAGGTCGCGAGTAGCCCACGCGTCGCGGATGTCCTGGTCGAGACTGACTTTCCACCAGTGGTCCATCCAGCGTTGGCGCGCTCGTAGTCGTCGTTGGACCTCGCGCAGGGCCGCACGGTTGAAGGGTAGTCGTCGAGCTCGGTAGTCGGCACGTTCTTTAAGCAAGCGGAGACGTTCAAGTCGAGCTCGTTGGTACCTTTGTGGTTGTCCTCCTTCCTTTGTAAAATACTTGCGGCCGCACTCACGAATGATATGGGCGATGAGAGCGTTGTGGCGGGTCGGAAACTGATCCATCTTGACAACTCGGATAACCTCCCTGTGGTTGCTGATCTCGGCGTAGACGTCATTGAGAAAAGCAGCGCGGCGGGCGCCCGTCTGGAGCCCAGCAGCAAGGAGGCCGAAGTCCCAGCGGATGCTGTTGTTCGTGATGTTGGCGCCGCTGGCAGGCATCTTGATCTGCATGATCATGGGGCGTGGTCGGCAACATGCAATAGGCTACGTAGTTTGGCGTGGATCTTCCAATTCAGCTTCACGTATTTCACGATCTCCATGAGATTGTCGTAGCCGATGAAGTAGTCAATGCGTGATCTAGCTTGGTTGGGCCCGTAGTAGGTGTTGCCCACGTCAATGTGCGTGTTGATGGCTGTCAGCTGATGGGTCAGCAGCTGGTCGTGAATGAAGCGTCCGAACTCGGTCTCGTCGCTGGCGTGGTAGCTGCCGATCGCACTGTCAGTATGGAGCTGACGTGATCGTCGTCCTAGTCCATGGTTGAGGTCTGTGAACAGGATAGGTGTGACGCGAGTGGGAGCGTCGGTGAGTGTCTGCAGTACCCAGCGCCATAGTCGTCGGCATCCTGCTTTCCAGTGTTGGTGATGACCCGCTCCATTCGGCCTTGGTGGGGAATGCGCTACAATGAGTCGAAGGCGGAGCTGGCCTCGGTGAAGCTCGACGGCGCCTGCGCGGCCCCGTAGGTCGGGCTGGGGGGGGGGGGGGGGGGGGGGGGGGGGGGGGGGGGGGGGGGGGGGGGGGGGGGGGGGGGGGGGGGGGGGGGGGGGGGTAGTACCTTGACAATGTCTATATTTCGGAAGTGGCGCTTAGATACTTCAACGCTGCAGCCCGCTGAGCTATTCGCGTGGGGCCCCCGACCCCATCCGAAGTGGACCCATGTATGGTGTAGGCTGTCCTCAAGATGGTGCGGGGCGTCGGTAGTGCGTTGGCGCATCCTGGTGCCTACGTACATCATGATCTGTATAGCACGGCGCGTGTCGGAGATGTGGTCGAGACGTCCTGGAACTCCCTTGAGCGAGAATGGGTTCCATCCCAATATTGCGATGGCCTTCGTAGTGGCGTGGTGCGGGCGTGCGTCAGGGTCAGGGCGGCGTGGGGGTTGGCTAGCCGCCTCGCAATGAAGATGGGACGGAGCCCCCCCATTTCCAGGAACCACATTGGGGGCAGGGGGCGTCGGGGAGGGTGGGAGAAGGCCAGGCGGAGAGGCGTCGGCGGAGAAGTAGGTGGGTCGTCGGGCTGGAAATTGATGATCATGGCGTTCGTCGCAGGGGTCCCGTTCATGTCGAAAATCAATTCCAGGTGGCAATTCAGGGTCAGCGCGCACTTGTTCCACTGGTGGCAATTCATGGTCTGCGTGGTGTAATCCTGCATGTACTGGCCCTCCGTGTCCGTGTTGATGTTGAAATTGAAGCTCAGCGTCCAGCAATTCAAGACCAGCGTGTTGTAATCCTGCATGTGCTGGCCCTCTATGTTCGTGATGATGTTGAAATTGATGCTCAGCGTCCAGTGGTCCTTCGCGAAATGGGTGTGGAGGTGATGGTGGTGATGCTGGGGTCGGGGCTGAGTAACGGCTGTAGCGTGGGACTCGTGCGCGTCGTAGTGGGCCATGTAGGTCCCGTGCTGCAGTATCGGCGTTGTCGTCTGGCTGGTGGTCAGGTGCCATGCGTTCGTCCATGTTCAGCGAGCAGGCCCTGTAGCTCAGCAGGTGCGCGGCGCCCGCGCTCTGGAGCACAACCTTGGCGGCATGGCGGTCTGCGGGGTATCGTCAAAGAGGCCCTCTGCCTTTCGGGCAAGGCGAGAAGGCGGTGACTGGAGGCCGCTGCTCCTTCGATGGCCTGAGCCTCGGCGGCCTTTGATGATGATGATGATGATGATGATGATGATGATGATGATGATGATGATGGTGGTGATAATGACGACGACGAGGAGGAGGAGGAGGAGGAGGAGGATGGTGATGATTTGCCCCGTGGGCGCCTCGTGGGCGCCCCATGTGGGCTGGCTGGCGGTTCCGGACGTTCGGCCGGCGGGCGCCACGAGGGCACCTCGTGAGCGCGCCCACGTGCGCTGGCTGGCCTCCCGGAGGCACACACAGATTGTGCAGCCACACTACACAGCTTGCACCACACAGGTTGCTTGCGTGCCTCCTGCTCCTCCTCCTGCTGCTTCTCCTCCTCCTTCTCCTCCTCCTCCTCATTTTCACCCTCATCCTCATTCTCCCTCCTCTTGCCCTGCGTCTCCCTCCAGCATGCGCCCGATCAGGTCTACCACGACCCTGTCGGCGCGGTGGTCGTCAATGATCTCCAGGTCTCGCAGAGCTTCGCTTGCACCCAGTTGATTGCGTACCTTGCGAGGACTGCACCACGTAGCTTGCGCCACATCGACTGCAAGATAGCATGCGCCTCTCAGTTTGCGAGTGTCACGCGGTTTGCGCCACCCACCTTGTGCCACACAGGTGCACTACGTGCATTGCAACGCCTTGGCTGCAAACCATAGTTCGCAGTCCATATGTTGAACGCAGTATGCCGCACCACATGTATTGCATCATCAAGGATACACCGCACACAATGCAGCATCTGGGTGCTACAATATCACGCAGCGCATAGATTGCACGACGCGCGTTGCACCTTTCTGTGGGTGTGGCTTCAACCTGGCTTCTTTTCGCTTGTCGGCGGATGTTGCTCCCCCTTGGAGTGGCAGGATTCCTCACGCCTTGCTTTCGCCTGGCGGTGGGTGTGGATTCCACCTGGTCTTTTCGCCTGTCGGTGGGTGTGGTTTCCACCTGCTCTTTCGCCGGTCGGTGGTTGTGGTGGCCACCTGCTGTCGGTGGGCGAGGCTTCAACCTGGTCGATTCGCCTGTCGGTGGATGCGGCTTCCACCTGCTCGTTCGCCTGTCGGTGGGTGTGGTTTCCACTGCTCTCTGGGTTTCGCCTGTCGGTGGGTGCGGCTTCGACCTGACCTCCCCCAAGCACGAGATGGCTGCTCTGACCAAAACCCCCAACCACCTCAGGATGTGCTGCTGCTGACCGCCAGTCACCATGGGCGGGCCGCCGGCCCCAGCTGGGGCAACCCCAGGAAGTACTGGACTCTTCTTGCCCTGCTTTCGCCTCCTCCTCCTCATCCCCCTCCCCCTCCTCCTCCTCCTCCTCCTCCTCCTCCTCCTCCTCCTCCTCCTCCTCCTCCTCCTCCTCCTCCTCCTCCTCCGTCTCCTCCCTCTCCTCCTCCTCCTCCTCCTCCTCCCTCCTCCTCCTACTCCTCCTCCCCTCCTCCTCCTCCCCCTCCTCCTCCTCCTCCTCCTCCTCCTCCTCCTCCTCCTCCTCCTCCTCCTTCCTCATACTGTGGTTGTGGTCTCCACGACCTGCCCAAGCACGAGGTTGCTGGAAATTGCTGCTGCAGAGAAGGTCGGAACGTTACTACGCCTCCTCGCTGTTAAATCACTCGTAAATTAACGCTGCCTTCGGGGGGGAGGGTTCCTCAGCGAGCGACCAGCCCCCCCCCGTCCGTCCTCTTCCCAAAGTCCTTGGAGGAACTACCCAACACAGGCATGGGAGGTCCGCGGTCCCCCCCCCAGCGGGGGGAATAGGCCACTTCATCCCCGCATTCGAAGGGCAGCCCTTACGGAGACGGTTAAGCATGGTGCGCCCCGAAGGTGTCGGTACTTTCGGGCACACCTCAGCAAGCTTGCACAGCCGACCTTTACATCCCATGATGGCCGCATATCGTGCGCATCCCCAGCACCACGCCAAACCATGCTGCATGGCGATCGAGTGCGACGGGTGAACCGATTTGGCGCCAAATCTGAAGGTTCTGACCAAGGTGGGGGGAACATGAACGTGGTGGCCTTGCTCGCTGAGGTCCCTCGGGGCTTCATCTCCAAAGCACAAACCGGCTTGCAACCAGTCGATCACTGAAAAACGCCCAAGGGTTTGACGGCAGCTGTCACACATCCATTGGCCATCCCCACGGAGTCGCTGGCTGTGGCCCGATCGGACCTCAACCTCCTGAATTCTCGTGGGTCTTCCATCCGAATTCCTCACGACACGACTTATCGTCCTCGCTACAGGTCTGGGCCAAAATTGCCCCCATTCTCTGGTGCACTTAAGTGGCCCTCGCATCGATTAAATTGAGGGCCTTGATCTGGCTCCTAAACACATCGGAGGCAGCCTCAGCTCCGCGCCGGGCCAGCACGTCCGCCATCTCGCTCCCACGAGACCATGTCTACTGGTTGGCCGGAGTTTACATGGGAATCTACATCCACGTGCGAAAAACTATTTTTGGACCCTGACACGCCCCCCCGCCCATCGAGCTTCGAGGGCGCGCCTACTTTGGGCCCGCCATCGGATCAAGGGCCCTTGGGGGGTCTCTCCATAGCCGGGATTCCAACCGTCGGAGACCAGCTGGCAACCCGCCCACAGGAGGACGGGTCCCGCGGCGACCTTCAGGGCCCCAAAACAGCGTAGCCAGCTCAGAAGCTGGCACAGCCTGGCCCCCATCGATGGTTCCATACAGCCCTCGGAGAGCCCCCTGGTCCACGCCCAGTTCAGCCCCTCCCCTCCCCGCGAAATTAGACCCCCCATCAGACCCGACAGACGCGGGCGTCACTGGACGTGGCCGAGCCATCACGGAAGCCTACTTGGACCTGGAGGGGGCAGGTGCTCGAGGGGAGGAGGTCGAGGGAGGAGTCGAGGTCAGGCGGACGGGGGCCCACAGCCCAGGCATCTTGCCCAAAGCCAGAGTCCCAAGCTGGGGGCGGGGGCACTGGGTCCCACTCCTGTGGGACTCCCCCTGGTCCAAAAACCTACTTTGCCCGCCTTCACTCACATCTTTCTGCGCAACCTCACACTAAACGTCCGTGCGGAGCACCCGCTCGTGCTCGAGTCCAGCGTTCTGCATGCAGTCGCACAGGCGGTGGGCTATCGTGTCCTTTGCCAAATCGCAGCGTGGGCAATCATCATCTATCTGGTAGCCGGCTGATTTGGCGCGTGCCTTAGTCCATGTGCTGGCCAGAGAATTCGCCCCCAGAGCCCCTGCTTCAGCTAGTCGCCCCTGGCGTCGCATACGTCGTAGGTTGACCCGAAGCATGCGAAGGTCATCTCCGTCGGCGAGTCCCTGTCCTGTTGCATGCGCTCCAGCTTGCTGCCACAACTCCTTATACATAGATGTCATGATCGTTGTAAAGACCCTCGTAGTTGCGCGGGTTGTCTGCATCGCGTTGCTATTCATCTCCGTTGCCCTATATCCATCGGTCTGGAGCGCGCGGAACCCAACCGAGATCTCTCAGGCCCACCGCCAGCGAGACCGCGCCTTCAAGTAGATCAACCGTCGGAGAACTGCAGCCCATCCTTTTTACGGACTCGGTCGTGTAGCTCAGGGTGTGTTGGCCAGAACTTGAACCAGCGCTTCGCCTGCTCCATGACCGCGCTCATCCTGGGTTCATCGCCCTGGTAGTGCAAAGCATGATGGTGGCAGCGCAGCGTGAACCGACAGTGTGTCCAGCTAGATCAGCAGCTTGCGCACGCCGCCGCACTACCTCCGAGGGGGGAGGTGCCCGAGACTGGATCTGCATAGCTGAACTTCGCTCGGGTAATGGTCTTTTGCAACATGATTCCTTTAGTCCTCTTGCCGCCACGTCCAAGTCGTCGAAACAAGCTCGTTCGCGTAGCTTCTCGCCTGCGCCACTGTCATACGGCCCTTGGTGGTAGTGCAAGCTCGCAGAACTCCCATCGAACAGTCCACTCCCAGGTCCTTGGCCCCTTTCGACATCTTGATATTGATGCCCGTGGCGGAGGCGACATGCTGCAACACCAGGTCCTCGCGCTCGGGGTTGGTCATCATCAGCATGGACTTCGGCGAGACCTTCAGACCCATGTCCAACATGCCCTGCACTAGAGCACCTGCCACGTGCTTCGTCTGCTCCAACACTAACTGACCGGGTCCTTCGACTCGCGTGCAATCATCATCTACATACTGACGTAGGAGCCTTCTCGCGTGCACGTTCAAGTGGCCGCTGCCGGAAGACGCGCGCGCACTGGTTGGCCTTCCCGCAGCCTGGCACGATGGGGCGGTTGGGAACGATGGCCTCTGCGAGAGCGCCGTTTGCCGTAACTACGCGCGGTGCCAGGTAGGTGAGGCAACACAGGTAGAGTTCAACGGAGGGAACTCTTAAGTCCATGGCCTGGCGGATCATGAGCTCCAGATCCATGTGGTCCTAGAACTTCTCGACGTCCACCAGGAAGTTGCTCTGCTCGTTGATGCCCACGTGCGCCATGGTCTCATCCAGCACCATGGTGAGCATCGCGGCGTGGAGCGCGTTGCTGCTCTTGACGGCGGCGCCCCAGCGCGCTGGCTTCTCATCTCACCACTCTGTCATAGCGGTCTTCGTCATGCGACACCAGATGCGAACTGGCATGGGCAGCAGGCCGGCGTCGCACTCGTTGCCGATCTCCTGCTTGGTGCCCTGCGGGAGCAGGGCGCACCAGTTGCGAAGCAACTGATGCGGCCAAGTGAAGCTGCGCTCGATCATGTTCAAGAGCGTGACAAAGGCCTCCTGTCCCTGGTCGGACAGCGCCAGAATGCGGGAGGGCGCCCACTGACCCGAACCCTTGCCCGTGGACTTCGGGAAAGACCGCAGGGCCTGCACCGGGCTGTCGCTGTCGTGGCAGGGTCGCTGAGCTAGCTCCCCGCGGGCGCGGTGACGAAGCTCACCGAGGGCAGCGCGGATCGCCGGCAATCGGCGCGACTGGGGCGTCCACCGCTCCGCCCAGCAGGCCGCTCTGATCTCAGTGGTTCTCTGCACCGTGTCGCGCGCCTCCTGCCCAGCGGCACCAGGCAGGTCTCCGCCAACGCCTGCTGCTCCAGCTTCTTGAGGTAGCGGTGGGCGCCCTTCATGGAGCCCTCGGTGTTGTCGATCGCCTACTTGCCGATCTCGCTGCGGGTTTGCTGCCACGCCATGCTGGCGCGACGCTGAGCACGGGCTTGGGCCTTCATCGCCACGTGCTGCCTATGCTGGAAATCCGCGCTGCACTGCATGCGGATACCCATAGATCACCTTATCACCATCACGACACACTCGCCACTTACCACGTTGATCTTCTTCATGACCTGTTGGAACTGGGCCTTCCCTGTCACGCAGCGACTTCAGCTCCGGAAGAGAAGTGGACATCGTAGTCTGAACCTGTCTTTGGTAACGAGAGTGCCTGAATATGCCCAATGCGGTCAGCTGCTCCTGGTCCCTGGCATGAAAACTAGCGGCGGTAGATGGAGTTGGTGGGCTGGAGCGCCGCCTTCTGCCATCGACTTCGCACTGGTAGTCCTCGACGAGCAGCGCCCTTAGGTGCGACTCCACATAGTTCAGCGAGTTGCGCTTCGGCTGCCGCCGACCAGACTGCATACTGCTGAGCCATCATGTCGCCCATGTGCGGGCCCTGCTGATACGCCACGCCCTGGGTGGTGACGTCGCTGCCCTGCAAGTTGCTGTCGTCGACGATCTGCTGCGCCTCGCGCACGCAGGAGGGCCGCTCGCTATCCTCGCACCGCCGGTGGCGATGCTGCACGCAGTGGTCCTCGAACAGGTGGTCGCCCTCACCATTGAGCCAGTCGCCGCGCTGAAGGTCCTGCTCGTTACGCGCCTCCTGAAGCTTCTGATGTCGCTGCCGATCACGCTGCCAACGCGCCACTCCCTTGGCGACGCGAACCTCGCCCCGAGGTTCTTCAAGTTGTGCCGGGAGGCATGGGGCTCGCATGAACGCCGAAGCTGGGCGAGAGACCAAGCGGATGTCCAAGCCGACGCGCGGGCCCCATGGCAGGTCCTAGACAGGGTAGACGCCATCCAGGAAGGGGCGGAAACTGTCGGGCACAATCACGTAGTCAATCATGCCACCCTTGCCCGAGGTGCAGGATGTCTGGACGCCTTCTGGTGTAAACGCGTTGCCGTCCAGCGCCTTCAGCCACCCTGACTTCAGCACCCCCTACGGGGTGGCGTCGAAGTCGCCCACTAGCAACCAGGGGCTCCAAGCGCCCTGAGTACGCGGAGAATCGCGTTCATCTTCTTAGCGTTGGTGCCGACCAGACCGATGGGGCAGGTCTAGGTTGAGCATGTCGTGGTAGACACTCTTGCCGTTGGAGCCCTCCAGGTGGATGCTAGTGGCGTAGGTAGCTCGACGAAGCCAGCGCGCGCCCCCGTGCGTGCCCATGTCCGAGCGCCCCGATGCCGCTGCAGCAGTCCAGGCCCCTTTTCAGATCCTCATCCAAAATTGCGCAGCCGCCTCTCCTCCCTCTGGCACATCACTTGCACCAAGTGGTGCTCAGTCAAGCCCATGAGATCGGAAAACCTACTTGCCCGCCGTGACTCAAATCTTTCTGCGCGACCTCACACAAACCTCCCGTGCGGAGCACCCACTCGTGCTCGACCCCAGCGTTCTGCATGCAGTCGCACAGGCGGTGGGCGATCGTGTCCTTTGCCAACTCGCAGCGCGGACAATCATCATCTATCTGGTAGCCAGCTGATTTGGCGCGCGCCTTAGTCCATGCGCTGGCCAGAGAATTCGCCTCCAGAGCCCCTGCTTCAGCTAGTCGTCCCTGGCGTCGCATACGCGGTAGGTTGACTCGAATCATGCAAAGGTCACCTCCGTCGGCGAGTCCCTGTCCTGTTGCATGCGCTTCAGTTTGCTGCCACAACTCCTTACGAATAGATGTCCTGATCGCTGTAAAGATATCCTCGTAGTTGTGCGGGTTGTCTGCATCGCGTTGCTATTCATCTCCGCTGTCCTATAACCGTCGGTCTGGAGCTCGCGGAACCCAACCGAGATCTCTCAGGCCCATCGCCAGCGAGACCGCGCCTTCAAGTAGATCAACCGCCGGAGATCTGCAGCCCATCCTTTTACGGACTCGGTCGTGTAGCTCAGGGTGTGCTGGCCAGAACTTGAACCAGCGCTTCACCTGCTCCATGGCCGCGCTCATCCTGGGTTCATCGTCCTGGTAGTGCAAAGCATGATGGTGGCAGTGCAGCGTCCACCGACAGTTGATCCAGCTAGATCAGCAGCTTGCGCACGCCGTCGCACTACCTCCGAGGGGAGATACCCGAGACTGGATCTGCATAGCTGAACTTCGCTCGGATATTGGTCTTGTGCAACATGATTCCTTTAGTCTTCTTGCCGCCGCGTCCAAGTCGTCGAAACAAGCTCGTTCGCGTCGCTCTCGCCTGCGCCACTGTCATACGGCCCTTGGTGGTAGTGCAAGCTCGCAGAACTCCCATCGAACAGTCCACTCCCAGGTCCTTGGCCCATGTCGTCTTCTTGATACTGATGCCCGTGGCGGAGACGACATGCTGCAACACCAGGTCCTCGTGCTCGGGGTTGGTCATCATCAGCATGGACTTCGGCGAGACCTTCAGACCCGTGTCCAACATGCCCTGTATTAAAGCACCTGCCACGTGCTTCGTCTGCTCCAAGACTAACAGACATGGTCCTTCGACTCGCGTGTAATCATCATCTACATACTGACGCATACGTGCCACAGGAGCCTTCTCGCGTGCACGTTCAAGTGGCCGCTGCCGGAAGACGCGCGCACACTGGTTGGCCTTCCCGTAGCCTGGCACGATGGAGCGGTTGGGAACGATGGCCTCTGCGAAAGCGCCGCTCGCCTTCACTACGCGCGGCGCCAGGTAGGCGAGGCAACAGAGGTGGAGTTCAACGGAGGGGAACTCTTAAGTCCATGGCCTGGCGGATCATGAGCTCCAGATCCACATGGTCGTAGAACTTCTCGACGTCCACCAGGAAGTTGCTCTGCTCGTTGATGCCCACGCGCGCCCTGGTCTCATCCAGCATCATGGTGAGCATCGCGGCCTGGAGCGCGCTGCTGCCCTTGACGCGGCGCCCCAGCGCGCTGCGTTCTCATCGCACCACTCCGTCATAGCGGTCTTCGTCATGCGACCCCAGATGCGAACTGGCATGGGCAGCAGGCCGGCGTCGCACTCGTTGCCGGTCTCGTGCCCTGCGGGAGCAGGGCGAACCAGTTGTGAAGTTACTGATGCGGCCAAGTGAGGCTGCGCTCGATCATGTTCAAGAGCGTGACAAAGGCCTCCTGCTCCTGGTCGGACAGCACCAGAATGCGGGAGGGCGCCCGCTGACCCGAACCCTTGCCCGTGGACTTCGGGAAAGACCGCAGGGCCTGCACCGGGCTGTCGCGGTCGTGGCAGGGTCGCCGCGCTAGCTCCCCGTGGGCACGGTGACGAAGCTCACCGAGGACAGCGCGGATCGCCGGCAATCGGCGCGACTGGGGCGTCCACCGCTCCGCCCAGCAGGCCGCTCTGATCTCAGTAGTCATCTGCACCGCGTCGCGCACCTCCTGCCCAGCGACATCCAGGCAGGTCTCCGCCAACGCCTGCTGCTCCAGCTTCTTGAGGTAGCGGTGGGCGCCCTTCATGGAGCCCTTGATGTTGTCGATCGCCTACTTGCCGATCTCGCTGCGGGTTTGCTGCCGCGCCAGACTGGCGCGACGCTGACGGGCTTGGGCCTTCATCGCGACATGCTTCCAATGCTGGAAATCCGCGCTGTACTGCATGCGGATCACCCTATCACCATCACGAAACACTCGCCACTTACCATGTTGCTCTTCTTCATGACATGTTGGAACTGGGCCTCCCCTGTCACGTAACGACCTCAGCTCCGGAAGAAAAGTGGACACCGTAGTCTGAACCTGTATTTGGTAACGAGAGTACTTGAATATGCCCAGTGCGATCAGCTGCCCCTGGTCCCCCGCATGAAAACTAGCCCAGAGACTGCACATCTCGCTGGCTACCGAGTGACCGTAGATGGAGTTGGTGGGCTGGAGCGCCGCCTTCTGCCATCGGCATCGCACTGGTAGTCCTCGACGAGCAGCGTCTTTAGGTGCGACTCACACAGTTCAGCTAGTTGCGCTGCGGCTGCCACCGACCAGACTGCATGCTGCTTAGCCATCATGTCGCCCATGCGCGGGCCGCGCTGATACGCCACGCCCTGGGCGGTGACGTCGCTGCCCTGCAAGTTGCTGTCGTCGACGATCTGCTGCGCCTCGTGCACGTAGGCGGGCCGCTCGCTATCCTCGCACCGCCGGGGGCGATGCTGCGCGCAGTGGTCCTCGAACAGGTGGTCGCCCTCATCATTGAGCAAGTCGCCGCGCGGGAGGTCCTGCACGTCGCGCGCCTCCTGAAGCTTCTGATGTCGCTGCCGATCACGCTGGCAACGCATCACTCCCTTGGCGACGCGAACCTCGCCCCGAGGTGCTTCAAGTTGTGCAGGGAGGCATGGGGCTCGCACGAACACCGAAGCTGGGCGAGAGACCAAGCGGATGTCCAAGCCGACGCGCGGGCCCCATGGCAGGTCCTGGGCAGGGTGGGCGCCATCCAGGAAGGGGCGGACACGGTCGGGCACAACCACGTAGTCATTCATGCGGCCCTTGCCCGAGGTGCAGGATATCTGGACGCCTTCTGGAGTAAACACGTTGCCGTCCAGCGCTTTCAACCACCCTGACTTCTGCTTCTCCTACGGGGTGGCGTCGAAGTCGCCCACTAGCAACCAGGGGTTCCAGGCGTCCTGACTACGCGGAGAATCGCGTTCATCTTCTTAGCGTCGGTGCCGACCAGACCGATGGGGCAGTCTTGGTAGCACACGATGAAAGCGAAGGTGGTGCCATGGAAACGCCACAGGACAAGTAAGGTGTTTTAGTCGCCAAATTCCCGGTTCCCGGTTCCCGGTTCCCGGGTCCCGGGTGCCGGTTCCCAGGTCCTGGTTCCCGGGTCCCGGTTCCCAGCTCCCGGTTCCTGGTTCCCGGTTCCTGGTTCCCGGTTCCCGGTTCCCGGTTCCCGATTCCCGGTTCCCGCGGCTCCCGGCTCCCCGTTCCCGGTTCCCGGTTCCCGGTTCCCGGTTCCCGGTTCCCGGGTCCCGGGTCCCAGGCTCCGGGCTCCCGGCTCCTGGCCTCCGGCCAGGTTCTGGTTCCCGGTTCCCGGTTCCCTGCTCCCTGCCCCCCCGGGTTCCCGGTTCCCGGGTCCCGGCGTTCCTCTTCGTTGTCGTCCTCCTCCTCCTCCTCCTCTTCATTTCTCTTCCTCATCACCCTCATCCTCCTCCTCCTCCTCCTCCTCCTCCTCCTCCTCCTCCTCCTCCTCCGCATCATCATCATCATCATCAGCATCATCATCATCATCATCATCATCATCATCATCATCATCAGCATCATCATCATCATCATCATCATCATC